ACACACACACACATCACCCCGAGGTCACAGTTCTCAGCAGTAAGAATGAGAAAACAGGTAAAGTAACTTCTCGCTCTCCATATATTAGCCTATAAGAGCCACACGTGCTGGGAGCCACTCGTTAAATTACATTCATAAAAAAAAACATTAAAAACCTTGTAAGAAATTAACCACATTATCTTTTACGACCCCGACCACACGACGCAACAAACGACGGAAGTAGACGCAGGTAAAGGCAGGTAGACGCAGGTAGACGCAGATAAAGGCACAGGTAGACGCAGGTAAGGGCACAGGTAGACGCAGGTAGACGCAGGTAAAGGCACAGGTAGACGCAGGTAAAGGCACAGGTAGACGCAGGTACACGCAGGTAAAGGCACAGGTAGACGCAGGTAAAGGCACAGGTAGACGCAGGTGGGGCACATGGAGACGTAGAAGATTATGACTTGAATACGTTTCTAAGTGCAAGTCTACGTGTAGGTTTTACTTATAATTGTTGTTGTAGTAGTAGTAGTAGTAGTAGTAGTAGAGTTTTCTTCTACGTCAGTTCCTAAGTGTGTGTTCGTATTATCGTTAGTGCGAGCAAACTAGCAGCGTCTGGCGTTCATCCACTACCTAGCTTTAGTAATATGTTCACGGGACATACGGAAGACTAAGTTTCGCTGGCCTGATGTTATTAATGGTAGAGAGAGACAGAGATAGAGAGAGAGACAGAGACAGAGAGAGACAGAGAGATAGAGAGAGACAGAGATAGAGAGAGACAGAGATAGAGAGAGACAGAGATAGAGAGAGACAGAGATAGAGAGAGACAGAGAGATAGAGAGAGACAGAGATAGAGAGAGACAGAGATAGAGAGAGACAGAGATAGAGAGAGAGAAACAGACGGGGAGAATGAGAGACAGAGACACAAAACAAGGGGGAGACATGTAAACTAAAAGAGAAATAGACAGAGAGAAACAGAAAGAGAGAAGGAGATAGAGAGAAATAGAGAGAGACAGACAGACAGACAGACAGACAGACAGAAAAGAGACCACACTAACTTTTACGAATTTATCTGACACCTTCCCTTAAGAGATTCAACAGAACAAGAAGCAGAGGTAAAATAAACTCACTCCCTCACCTTACACATCAGTTTGTTACACCCAGTACACCTGTCCACACTGACCAACCACCCAACACCCATCCATGTGTACTCACCTTGGTTGCAGGTAACACATTACACCCCACCCTCTCTCTCTCTCTCTCTCTCATAACGATTCACAATGGCTGGTGGAATCACTTTTTTTACCTTAATTGGAATACCTGAGAACGTATCGACCTGGTCCACTTAAGCTACGATATGAAGTTGGATTGTTGATAAATTTGTCAAGGGTTTATTAAGAGGAATATACACACAGACACACACACACACACAGACACACACACACACACACACACACACACACACACACACACACACACACACACACACACACACACAGTAGCATAACATATAATTACACACAATAAAACAACTTACAAAAGCAGTAATAGCCCACAAACACGCTCTATTACATAAGCGAACTGCATAACCTTTAGCATAACACATATCTTGGCTCTTCCTCAACCCTTAATTAGTATGCAAGAACAATAACACCCGTATGCAAATGAACCTCGTGGAGTTAATGCATGGTGAAGTAATGTTGACAAATACCTTTTATTTTATTTGTTTTACCCACCTAGGTTATGGGTTGGGTATGGAGGTATCTTTAATCGTGGTTTAGGTTAGGTTAGATTAGCTTAAGTTAGGTTAGGTTAGGTTAGGTTAGGTTAGGTTAGGTTAGGTTAAGTTAAGTTAGAAATGAAGCTTATATTACCTGCGTATACACAACAACAACAACAACAACAACAACAACAACAACAACGAGAAACAACAACAACAACAACAACAACAACAACACAAACAACAACAACAACGACAAACACTCTCTCTCAGTACCTGGGTGAGAGGTCTCTAGGCTACACACCTTAATTGCTCCCATACATGGTCGGGAAAGAACAGGTCTGACTCACTATGCTAATGGGCCCCAGTGCTCGTGTCCCTGTGTCTTAATGGGCCCCAGTGGTAACATCCACCTGACCTAATGGGTCCCAGTGCTAATATCCACCTATCCTAATGGGCCCCAATGCTAATATCCACCTATCCTAATGGGCCCCAGTGCTAATATCCACCTATCCTAATGGGCCCCAGTGCTAATATCCTCCTATCCTAATGGGCCCCAGTGCTAATATCCACCTGACCTAATGGGCCCCAGTGTTAATATCCACGTATCCTAATGGGCCCAAACCCTAATGAAATACAATTGTAATGAATAAATCAAGTTGGGGTCTATTAATCCTGGGGCCCATTTGACCCCACGTGATAGAGGGCGCCACCTGACCATCTCACCATTAGACAGTGTGATGGAGGGGAGGAGAGGAAGGTAGGGTAGGTAAGGGTGTACACCAAGGAGACAGGCTGTGTCCCTCTTAGTTTAATGAATAAAATTACCACTTTTTATCATAACTAAAAATTGACTCTGTGATCACAAGGAATATAACCTAACCTGAACATAACCTAACCTAACGTCACCTAACTTAACCTAACCTACACCTGAACCTAACCTACACCTGAACCTAACCTAACCTTACCTCACCTAACTTAACCTAACCTACACCTGAACCTAACCTAACCTTACCTCACCTAACTTAACCTAACCTACACCTGAACCTAACCTAACCTTACCTCACCTAACTAAACCTAACCTACACCTGAACCTAACCTAACTTTACCTCACCTAACCTAACCTAACCTTACCTCACCTAACCTAACCCAACCCACAAAAAATATTATAAAAATGAGACAACAGCCACAAAACCTGAATTCGGACAGAGCTGTAGTGGTGGGCTGGGCATAGGAGTGGTGGGCTGGGCATAGGAGTGGTGGGCTGGGCATAGGAGTGGTGGGCTGGGTATAGGAGTAGTGGGCTGGGCATAGGAGTGGTGGGCTGGGCATAGGAGTGGTGGGCTGGGTACGGGAGTGGTGGGTTGGGTACATAAATGGTGGGTTGGGTACATAAATGGTGGGTTGGGTACAGGTGTGGTGGGCTGCAGGTATAATATTAGCAGTATAAAGAACTAATGTTATGTCATCCCTCGCACAAAGGTATATGCAAATTAGAATAAAAAGCTGTGTAACTGTGTCAACAATGCTATTATATATGTTTACTATTGAGAAAATCATCTAAATCATTAAAAACACAATTAATATTGATAATAATTAATAGTAAAATTATTAAATCATTCTATGAAATTATTTTAAACACCTGAATTAATTTTTACTATAGTAATGACCTAATTAGTATTCTCTTTTATGTAACCCGTAGATATAATTCGTATTGTTTATATAATAGATTCAAGGCTCAAATTCACTTTCTCAAACGCGAATTATTTAATATTTTCGTGAATTTCTTTCGTATATTCTTTTATAGACTAAGAAAGAAATTATAAATTCGCCCATTGTGTTTTTCTGCATTAGTAACTTCTTGTGTACCTGTCGACAGTGTTCTCAGGTGATCTCCGTGGTATAATCTTGGAGTCCGGACCATAATCACATAATTGTAGAACAGGTGGCAGGTACATTATTTTGTGTACTATTCACCTGTAAGAATGTATCTATGTGAGGGAGTGGTCCTTGGCTTTTGTTAGTGTACTTAGCTAGGAGAGGAACTTAAGGACTTGGGGTAGGGTAGGGTAAGGTAGGGTACGTGGGGGAGAGGTAAATGAACTGGGGTTGGTTTAAGAACGTAGTACTGTACTTTTGGTAATGATAGTGTACTGTACTCAAGAGGTTTACAAATTGGTTTTAAGGAATTACTTAACTACGGACTAAAGTCGTAAAATTTGATGTGTGGAACGGACAAGGACGTTACATACAGTGGTGGCATTGAGTACGTAAGGAAGACAAATTTAACTTAAATTCGTGAATCAAGGAATAATATTAAACTTTTAATAGAATTTTGTCAAGAGTATAATTATGATTCTTACCAACATACTTAAAAAAACAATCAAATAAAACACACACACACACACACACACACACACACAACCACGCCAGGAATTCACACACATTCATATTTGCATGCAATCGGACCTTACCATCCAACACTGTTCTTCCATTATGATAAAAACAGAGAAGACGAACACGGGGGAGGTGGTGGAGAGAGGGTGTGTATGTTGATCTGAAGGAGGGGGTGTGGTTGATCTGGAAGGAGGGGTGTTGTGTGTTGATCTGAAGGAGGGGGGTGGATTGAAGGAGGGATGTGTGTTGATCTGAAGGAGGGGGGTGTTGTATGTTGATCTGAAGGAGGGTGTTGTATGTTGATCTGAAGGAGGGTTGATCTGAAGGAGAGGGTATTGTGTGTTGATCTGAAGGAGGGGGGTGTTGTATGTTGATCTGAAGGAGGGGGGTGTTGTGTGTTGATCTGAAGGAGGGGGGTGTTGTATGTTGTTCTGAAGGAGGGAGAGGAGACACAACACTTCGACCCAGCGTTCAAACTTTGCTGGAATGTGCATATGAATGTCTCCTGAAGGTGCGGGAGAAACTGACCCAGAGTTTCTAATCACTGGGGGTTTATTTATTTTTTTTTATGAGAGAGAAAGAGGGAATGAGAGAGGAAGAAAAGAAGGAAGGGAGAGGGAGGGAGAGAGGGAGAGAGAAGGAGGGAGGGAGGAAAGGAGGAAGATAAAGAGGGGGGAAGGGAGGGAGGAAGATAAAGAGAGGCATAGGTAGTCATTTAAAGGAAACCCAGACAGACAGACCGACAGACAGACAGACAGACAGACAGACATTGGTACTGTATAAAATCGTTTGTTTTCAATACTATCTAGATTTGTCGTACACACACACACACACACACACACACACACACACACACACACAACAGGCTGTAGTGAAGTACCTGTAGTGTATCTAGGTAATATTATTAACACCTTTCTTTCTTTCTGTTCAATAATAATACAGAAATAATAAATTACTCCGGTATTTGAAAGTTCTTATTAATAGCAGTGATTCTCCCTCGCAAGAACAATGCGGGAGGTGAACAGTGAACAATATAATATGAACTTTTCTTTGGTGTTCTTCACGTGATAAGGTGGAAGAGGTAACATCAGATCATGGCAGTTCATCCCGGCCAAGAAGCGTGGTGGTGGATGATGTACAGGTGTAGTGAGACAGTGGCCTCAGCGAGTTATGTGAACAATGAACCGTGAAGAGAGTGAGAGACAAAGTGAAGAGAATTGGAGACTTTCTTATTATCCCGGAATGTTTCTCAAGTTGGTTGGTGTTCTGTTTATGTTCTCTCGGTGTTCATATTGTTCACCTGTTCATTAGAGAGTGAAGTGGCGTATTTTTTTTTAAACGTCTTGTGAACTGTTTTGAAACTCTCTACATATCTGAGTGAAAAGAAGAGACCCCTTCAGCGTCTGCCGTCTGCCACCACCCTCAGGAAGAGAAGTAGGGGCGGGGAAGGTCGAGAATTATTACCCCTTCAGCGTCTGCCGTCTGCCACCACCCTCAGGAAGAGAAGAAAACAGAGGCTGGTGAGACTGGAGAAGGGATGTGGGATGGTTGAGGACTGCCAGGTGTGGTGGAGGTGGTGGTGGCAGGTGTCAGGATGGTGGCCACTCACCTGGTGTTAATGAACCACTTCTTAATGAGTCTCACACATAACTCACCTGGCCATGGAGTCTTCTCGGGAGTCAACAGTAAGTCTCTATCTTATTTCTTCTTCTTCTTCTTCTTATTCTTCTTTCATTATACTTTATTCATCTGTATTCATTTGTATATTTTTTTCCATGTATGAATTTTTATATCTGTGTGTGCGTGTATACAGGATGCACACATATTATTGTACTCCTCTGTATGTTTGTGTATGTATGTGTGTGTATGTATACGTTTCCGCTCTCTCTCTCTCTCTCTCTCTCTCTCTCTCTCTCTCTCTCTCTCTCTCTCATACACAATATATAAACCACTTGAGCACCGACAGAGTCAATCCAAAATGCACAAACTCCTCGTAAACTAAGAACCAGTTTGCAGTTCATGACCAAAGCATCACCATCTTAGGGACTCCTTTGCGGTTCCTTTAGGTTTTCTTCAGTTGTTCCTTTAGGGTTTCTTCAGTTGTTCCTTTAGGTTTTCTTCAGTTGTTCCTTTAGGGTTTCTTCAGTTGTTCCTTTAGGTTTTCTTCAGTTGTTCCTTTAGGTTTTCTTCAGTTGTTCCTTTAGGGTTTCTTCAGTTGTTCCTTTAGGGTTCCTTCAGGGGCTCCTTTACCTCTCAGCCGCATTCCTTACACGTCTAAGCTTCCAAGTGACGGATTCTCAAAGCGCCATAAATCACATACTCCTCATAACTCAAGATAAGACAATTTTTACCTTAAGTTCTAAACCAAAATCATTTATGTTACGTCACAATCATGAATTCTCAAAGAGTCATTGCTTATTTTTTTTACTCTAATTTAAGATCTTAAGAGCGTAATTAAACTGCATTACTTAAGTTACGGCAGAGAAAGAAAAAATAGATTCTCGTTCATTTTTCATTTCCTTCATCTTAACTACATATATGTGAATGTATCCAAACTGTTTTACCTTACACAGCCACACAAATACGACTATCTAAATGTCATCATCGGCATTTAATTACCTTGAAACTTTAACCTAATTTACCTTGAAACTTAAACCTAATTTACCTTGAAACTTTAACCTAATTTACCTTGAAACTTTAACCTAATTTACCTTGAAACTTTAACCTAATTTACCTTGAAACTTCAGCCTAGTTTACCCTGAAACTTTAACCTAATTTACCTTGAAACTTTAACCTAATTTACCTTGAAACTTTCACCTAATTTTCTTTGAAACTTTAACCTAATTTACCTTGATACTCTAACCTAATTAGATTCGGGTTTTTTCGTATCTAAAACAACACAAAACTCACCTCCCCCCTCCCCCCCCCATCACTTACCTTGACGCGCTATCAGCCAGGTAGAACATAAGAACATAAGAAAATAAGGAGTCTGCAATAGACCGGTTAGCCTGTGCATGACAGCTCCTGTCGAGAGTTACTACCACTCTCTATCATCCATGAATCTATCTAGCCTCCTTTTGAAACTTTCCAGAGTTCCCGCACTCACTACAAAGTTGCTAAGCTTGTTCCACTCGTCCACCACCCTATTTGTGAACCAGTTCCTTCCTATCTCCCTCCTAAACCTAAACTTATCCAACTTAAATCCGTTGCCTGAGTCCTATCCTGCTCGGATATTATAAGAACTTTATCTATCGCCTTTATTGATTCCTTTCACCCACTTAAATACTTCTATCATCATATCTCCCCGCATTCGTCTTCTAGGGAATGCAAGTTTGTTTCTTTAACCTATCCCGATATGGAAGGTTTCTAAGTCCCGAAATCATTTTCGTCATTCTCGCTGCACCGACTCTAGTGAATTGATATCCATTCTATAATAGGGGCACCAGAACTGAACCGCATAATCGAGGTGCGGCCTGACTAGCGCAAGATATAGTTGCAATAAGACCTCTGCACTCTTATTACTTACACTTCTAGATATAAACCCAATACTCTGTTTGCCTTATTTCGAACATTAACGCACTGTTTTCTAGGCCGTAGGTCCGGGCTTACAAGTACCCCTAGGTCTCTTTCACAAGTCGACTACTCTGGGTTGATGTTGTTAAGGCTGTATACATTGTCAGTATTTGTTCTTCCAATATTAAGTACGCTGCACTTGCTGGTGTTGAATTTCATTTGCCATTTTTCAGACCACCCCTGCAGTATATTTAGATCCTCCTGTAATGCATTTGCATCCTGCCCTGAATTAATATGCCGCCCTATTTTGGTGTCATCCGCAAACTTGCTTATGTCACTGCTGATCCCAGTATCTAGATCGTTTATGTAGATTATGAACAAGAATGGGCCTAGTACTGACCCCTGGGGAACCCCACTGGTTACACGGCCCCACTCAGATTTAACACCATCTACACTGACCCTCTGCGTTCTATCGGTAAAAGAGTTAATTCCTGGCTGAAGATCTTACCTGTTACCTGACGTGGGTGATGGATGGCCGTGTTAACAGAATCAGGCAGGTGCATTCAATCATCGTTAAGCTGAGTTGTTGTTATTTTTTACAATACCTGTATCAAGATGTGAAGGTGTTAGTGGTGAATATAAGATTATTTAATGGTTAGACTGTTGGCTACATATTGAGACCTGGAACCCAACCTAACCTAAACTAACCTAACCCAACCTAACCTAATCTAACCAAACGTAATAGCACCATTAACTTACAGCCGTAGCGCCGTTCTCTACTATTACCGTAACTAAAAAAATTGACCACTGCACATCTTTCACATCTCAAAACACATCCCTAGAGTAGATAAAGTCGATGCAAATAACTAACTTGACCCCCCCCCCCCCTCACCGTCCTCACTCATAACAAAACATACATATTTTGCGGTGAAAATAACTGCCCGCGAGGTACTCCAATGGTCAGTACTTATGACTGTCTGACTGCCGCTAATTACAGAGTGTCAGGGGGGAGAAAACTGATATTATCGCTCGTAAAACATGAGACAACTAAGTTTTCACTATATATGTGAAGAAATTATAGGTGAAATGTGTATGTAGGTATATTAACTGTGTGACTGGACTGCCTTTACACCGACGTCATGCTCACTCGGTCCCTCAAGTGACACTGATTGAATTTGTGGTGACTGCTGGTTGTGGTGTGACCGTGGTGGAGAGTTGCAAGGTAGGTAGATACCAACCTTGGAGAGTTGAGACACAGTAGCCTGAAGATAAAAAAAAATAGTTACTGAAAATTAAACCTTTGTAAGAATGGATATCACCTATTCGATCAACCCCCCCCCCCTCCCCTCCCTCCAACGAGCAGTACGATATCCTCAACTAGAAGAGTGCCATCGTGTTTCCAGATAGGATCACTCACTATACGTTACTCTTGAGGAAGATATCGAGAGAAAACGCTCCTTTGAAAATGAAGACATTTATAACCGTGTATATTGCCTAGTTGGTCGCACCTCCGCCAGACCTGTTATGTACGATAGTTTCTACCAGGAGAATGGCATCGTGTTTCCTATTACACGACATCGCTGCCAAAGAAAAAAGTAAAATTTAGTATGATCGTAAATTTAGTTTTTTTTGTGTGTGGATTCTTAACAGCAGCACACTTTCTGGCGCCATAAACCATCATACAAGAGAGGCAATAAAATATGAAGCTTGAGAAATACGAGGAAGAGTATTTTTTTTAAACAATTCTTACTGTTTAATGAAGGGTTGTATATCACACACCACGTAAACATATGATACTCATTTGTTTTTCCCCAAGTGTTTATAGACCAGGTTAAGAGACCGGGGTTATTATTATTATTATTATTATTATTATTATTATTATTATTATTATTATTATTATTATTATTATTATTATTATTATTATTATTATTATTATTATTATTATTGTTGTATTTTTAGGCTAACTGCTCTGTAATTATCGCTTTTGGGGAGTTTTGGACACACACACACACACACACACACACACACACACTAAACTTAAATACATGGTCAGTTCACAATTAACCCTCACCTTATATTCTTAGTGATTTATTGTTATTTATTTTTACTTATCAATCACTTGTCTCTCTAGCTTGTACATACCTAGTGTCACCCATCACTGTCAACCACCACTGTCACCCATCACTGTCACCCATCACTGTCAACCACCACTGTCACCCATCCTGTCAACCACTGTCACCCACTGTCACCCATGTCAACCATCACAGTCAACAACCACTGTCACCCATCACCGTCATCCAACACTGTCAACCACCACTGTCAGCCACCACTGTCATCCATCACTGTCATCCTACACTGTCATCCAACACTGTCACCCATCACTGTCAACCACCACTGTCAACCACCACTGTCACCCATCACTGTCAACCACCACTGTCAACCACCACTGTCACCCATCACTGTCATCCAACACTGTCAACCACCACTGTCATCCATCACTGTCATCCAACACTGTCAACCACCACTGTCATCCATCACTGTCAACCACCACTGTCACTCATTACTGTCATCCATCACTGTCATCCACCACTGTCACCCATCCTGTCACCATCACTGTCATCCACACTGTCACCACACTGTCATCCATCACCTCCTACACGTCATCCAACACTGCCATCACTGTCAACCACCACTGTCAACCACCACTGTCACCCATCACTGTCAACCACCACTGTCAACCACCACTGTCACCCATCGTCCCATCACAGCAACAACCACTGTCACCCATCACCGTCATCCAACACTGTCAACCACCACTGTCATCCATCACTGTCATCCTACACCGTCATCCAACACTGTCACCCATCACTGTCAACCACCACTGTCACCCATCACTGTCAACCATCACTGTCACCCATCACTGTCATCCAACACTGTCAACCACCACTGTCATCCATCACTGTCATCCTACACTGTCATCCAACACTGTCACCCATCGCTGTCAACCACCACTGTCAACCACCACTGTCACCCATCACTGTCAACCATCACTGTCAACCACCACTGTCACCCACCACTGTCAACCATCACTGTCAACAACCACTGTCACCCATCACCGTCATCCAACACTGTCAACCACCACTGTCATCCATCACTGTCATCCTACACTGTC